GGGTTGTTTCTCTTGCATTTCCTCACTCCTCTGGCTGTGGTTGCTGTTACGCAGCAGTTTTCCCCCCCCCCTTCTTAACTGTATTATCCCAGAGGTGCTACCACCATCGCTGATGGGCTTGGCCTTGGCCAGTGGCGGGTCAGTCTTGGAGCCGGCTGGCATTAGCTCTGTTGGACATAGGGGAAGCTTCTAGCACCTTCTCACAGAAGCCACCCCTGTATCCCCCCTGCTACCAAAACCTTGCCACGCAAACCCAGTAGATGCTGGTTTCGGCTGAGCACTGCAGGATTGCTGCCAGTTTCACTGGGACTTTCTGTAAATAAGGTGTCCAGACTGGATACGTGAGCACCAGGCATGCTGTAGCCAGGGAAACAGTGACAACAGCTTTCCTTTTGACTCCAGCCACTCGCTCCTTAAATGTCTCTCTTCATTGTGTGCTGACCTGAAAATGTAAATATTTGCTGTTCCCCTGTGCCCTGACCCCCTTCCTCTGCCAGGGAAGCTCCCATATTACCTCTGCATTTCAGCTGCTCTCCCAGGGACGCTGAGCCTGGGATTTGGGCATGTTTGAGGTCAAACCCTTCCGCTTATCTATCATGCTTTTCCTGTAAAGTGGGAACTTCTCCACAAGGATGAACTGTGATCCCACAAAGTGGTGTTGAAATGTGGAGGCAGGCTAATTTGCACCCTGCATGGGAAGCATCATTGCCGTCCCACCTCCCTTCCCACCTGGGTGCCACACAGGCTTTGCAAGGCTGGGCTGGGCTTGGGCTTGTGTTTCCCCACCATGGTCTGGGGTGGATGCCAGGGAACCGGGAGATGAGGGAGAGGGCTGGAGGTGAGCCCTTGTGCCGCTCCCCAGGGGCTGCGGGTTGTTGTTGATCCCTGCTCAGGCAGCGACTTGGGATCCTCCCTGATGGCTTCGGGGCTGCTTTGCCTGAGCGCAGCGGGCGCCTGCCTGTTTGCAGTCAGGCTTTCGCAGCAGGCTGCTGCACCAGCTGTAGAGAAAGCTTTCTGCAAACAGAACTAGATGTCATGGGCTTAGCTCATCGCCACCAGTGGTTATTCCACCTAAATGAAAAATTGGATCCAGGTAATCTGATCTGCCTTTTCCCAAGTGCATGCTGCCAAGCATCTTTGCAGCCCTCTGTAACTGCATCTCTGGGTGCTCCCGTTGGAGCTGCACCTATGCAGCAGCGAGAGCGTGTAGCCCATTCAGTGTCCAGGTTACCGTCCTGGTGGTGCCTTGGGTTGTGAGTGCAGCGTGCGTGCGGGGTGGTTTTTCTGCTGGTTTTTGTAAGGCTGGGAGCTGAAACAACAGAAGAAGCTTGTCTTCCCCAACTGCTTTAAGTTCCTGAGCGGTGGAAAGTAGCAAGAGAGTCAAATCTCTTGTTGTTTTAGTCCTGTGTTGGCCCCTACAGCATTCAAAAACTCAGTGTAAAATGTAAGTTGAGTTATTGGCCTTTATTTGGGTTTACTTGAATGCCTCTATTCATAACCCATGTGCAGTCAGTGGACTGTACCATACCCACCTATATTAAATTGCCTCTGGGTGCAGCACTGTCTTGAGAGAGAGTCGTATCTTGTGTCACGGCTGCTTAGAAATAATTCTCCGTTGTGTGTGCTCCTCCCGCTGTGCGTGGTCCTGCCTTAGGTGAATCCCCTGACATTAGCTCTCTTTCCAATGGGATGGGGAGCAGAGATAAATGCTATGCTCAGGTGGGAATTGCCCCTTTTTGTTGTGTATCTTATGAGAGCTTTTGGGTTCCTGAATATTCCCTGTGGACTCCGTGGTGGCAATTTGGGATTTGCAGTCCCTTGGGGGTACTTGCAAAAAAACTTGTTTCCCCCCTGCCCCACGCTTTAGCCCAGACACCTGCAAGTCACTCTGGCAGCCCGGCTGGTGGCAGCAGCCTGGAAGTCACTGTTATGGGAGGTTTCTGGAGCTTTCTTCTGAAAAGGTGAAAAAACAGCAATAAACCCCACCACCCATCCTGCGGTTGGTGTGTTCTGAGTGTTTGCTTCACGTCGATTTTGATTACTCACCCAACAGACTTAATGCAGATTAGATTTCCATGTCGGGTATGGGTTTTAATATATAAATAAGTAAATGTATCACCAGGTTCTGTAACAAATCATTTGGCCCCTGTGTTTTCATAAAATGCTAGCCCCATGGGAACCAAATCCATTTTCTAATGCAGAAAATCAAACTGAGCCCGTCTATGCTAATTCTCATCCAAGCTTATACAATATTCATTGCAGAGTGTCTGATCTGTGATTCTTCTTGATAAGTAAATTCTGGTGTTATGACTCATGGCAATTACCAAAGCCCCCAAAAGGCACTAAAATAACGATTAATGGCTGGGATGAGCAGGGAGGGGGGGATTATTGGGGTTAGCGGGTGTGAATAAGGTTAAGGACAGTTCCTCTGGTCCTGCTGGTCTGTGTCCCGTGCAAAGAGGATGTGCTAGCCAGGGGAGCAGTAACAAGGTCCACCTGGGAAGACAAAGCTGATCCTACGGGATGCCACCGCGAGCCCACTAAGGCCATGCCCCAGCCCTGGGGACCCGGCCAGGGGTGCGCAGGAAGGAGCTGAGGAGACAAGGCAGTGATGCTCAGGACCGGGGGGCAGCCGTGGGATTGGGGGCAGATGGGCCGCAGCAGCGTCACCCTTCACCAGGCAGCTCTGGAAAGGAAACCAGAGCTTCGTGGCTGGTGAGAAACCTCTGATGCCGGGCGCAGGGATTGCCCCAGCACGTGTCACGCACCTGCTAACAGACTGAAAACCCAGCCCCAGCTTTTCTGATGCGTTACTTATATTTCCCAAACATGCTAAACTCAGGATGAATTATCTTAAAGACTCTGTTTTCCGAGTCAGTTTTGTATTAGCAGTTGGAGGTTTTAGTGGCTGGGTGCTTTGGGGTGCGTGTGTCTGCATACGCAAATCAGGTGAAGTCTGAAGGCTTTGAATAGTGGATGAAGTCCCTGATAGCTGTGGGATCACACTGACAATGAGCTGTGTCTAAATTGGGCCCTTAATTTTCCCAGATCAGCAAAGCTCATTTGAAATCTCTGCCTTGGGATGCTGCGTTGTTCAGGCTGACTGGCAGCAGGGGTACTGAGCTGAACCCACATTTCTAGCCTGTCCCTCATGTATAATGCAGGTCTGGAGAGGACGGGAAAGCAGGCATTTGGGATGGGGCTGGGAATCATAAATGGGTAAATATCCGAATCATGTGGGATGCTGATCACCGTGTGCTTCTCCTAGCTTCAGTAGTAGTTTGTGCCTTGCAGGGTAGGGCCAGAGTGAGATTTCCCAATTCCTTCCAGGCTGTTTAACCCATCCCTGCCCTACAGCTATTTTGAATACCAGCAGGTAATGAATAAGCCTTTTTGTGATACAAAATGGTTTTCTTGGCATACCCTTAGGATTTGCAAGCCCAACCATCGGGCTCCTTCCTGCGCTGCTCTTGCACCAGCCCGACGTGTGCAGCCCCGGTGTGTGAGCAGGCTGGAATGACGGGAATGCAGCCGCTCGCCCAGACCTGCAAGCAGGCATGAGACGGACAGACAGCCATGTATTTCCTAGAGAAATGCCTAGAATTCAGAGAGCTTGTGAGTAACCCATTGTTGTACAAACATGAGAGCACAGTGCCAGGAGTCTGGCAGGGGCAAGTACGCTGGGTCAGAGAATGGCTCTGCAGGGTATTTCTAACAAATGAGCTTTAAAATGAATCTTTGGATGGGGGCAGAAGGATTTGAGTTGCCTCAGTTTGCCGGTTGTGATTCGGGGGATGTTGCTGGATGAAGGAGGAGATGCCAGATAGCGAGGGGATCGAAGCCCGGGTGGTGAGCAGACAGCAGCACACTGGTCACTTGACCTGTCTCTTGGGGCCTGATCCCAAACTTTCCCCTCTTCCTTCCTTGTGGGGTGTTTCTTTGTCTCCTTGGTGAGAGAGGAATGGTGTGCTTTGCAGATGAAGTCACCAACATGAGCTGCTCCTGTTGATTCTCCCATGACCGTTTCGTGGCCAGAAAGCCTCGTCGGTGCCTTATCAGATGGGACGGTCACCAGCTGGTGTCTGCCCTACCTCACTGCTGGCCCGGCCGGGTTTGAATAGGTGACTTGGGCTAAATGTCTGCTGCAGGCACGTTTGCTTCCCTTTTGCAAGGGCAACAGCCAGGCAAGGTGGATGCCAGGTTCATTTGCAAGCATTGCATGCAGTTTAGCTGTGTGACAAAGTCTGCTGGCGTTAGTGTGTTTGATCCCGCTCCATCTCCGCTTGCAGAGGCATGTGCTCTCTTTTGGGTATTCCTGGGGGCATCCGTAGCCCTGAGCACTAAATCACCATCATCAGTGCTGGTCCGGGGGCCTTTCCTCCACCAGCAGTGTCAGGTGCCTGCCTTGCCATGCTCAGGTGGTGCGAAACAGCGTCCGAACCAGGTAATAATGTTCATGACTTGTCAGGCGCATCCCTGCGCTCTGGAAATGGCTGGGTGGTTAGTGCCAAGGAGGGGTGGGGGGGTTCATGGAGGAGTTTGTGGCTGCAAAATATATGGTGTTCCTTCTGGGAAGGAACACACCCTGCTTCCTGGCTGCCGTTGTCTGCGGTCCGCCCTGCAAAAAGATTTGCATGTGTTCCTGCGAACTGGGGACGGGGCTCTTCCAGCGGCAGCCACGTCTCAGCGCTGGGGCGATGGTGCCTGTGGGGCAGCGCTGCTCCGCCTCATGTGCAGGAGGCACGTCTGTCTGGCACTTTGCAAGAGGGAGCTTGCGCGGTATGGTGGGGTTTGCATCCAGGAGCATCAGCGTCAGACAGCGGTGACCCCTGCCTGCACTCAGGCAGGGAGAGGCAGGCAATGCCAGAGCCTGTCTCCCAGCTTCCTGCTCTGGCTGCTGAATTACATACAGCGCTCTGCTAGGACGGAAACAGGATCCAGGGACCCCGATTTCCACACCGTGCATGAGCTGCAGAGAGGCAGCATGCTTGCTGGGCTCCTGCCAGAGCCAGAGGCGATAGGAAAAGGCCTTTCTCCCCACGCCCTGTTGCTGGCCGGTTCGCGCTTTGGCTGATCCCCCCCTGTTTTTCTTCCATTGCAGGCATCCCAACTCTCATCGTCCTGGACTCCAAGGGAGATGTGATCACGCGACAGGGGCGGGTGGAGGTGCTGAACGACATTGAATGCCGCGAGTTCCCCTGGCATCCCAAGCCTGTGCTGGAGCTGACGGACTCCAACGCCGTGCAGCTGAATGAGGGCCCCTGCCTCGTTCTCTTTGTAGGTATGGAGCATCGCTGCTTTGAAAGCAGAGCCTGTTCTCGGGAAGGGGGCTGGGCTACCTGCCAGCTCAACTGGAGCTGGCCGCGGAGCTGAGAACCTGCCTCCTGTGGTGGCAGCGTCCATGGGAAGGGACATCAGCCTGTTTCCATCACCAGGAGCAATGCTATGGAGTCCGGAGAGGCCATGGGGAGACAGAGGTTCCCATGGAGTCCCCTCAAGGGATTCGGGGGGGCTAACAGACTTGGAGCCTTGCCCATACCAGAGAAACGGGCTGCTGCAGCTCACAGGGGTTGGCCAGAGCCTGCCCGTGCCCGCGGGTCTCCTGCAGCTCCAGCCCAGCCACCCGAGGGATGCGATGGAGTAGCAATTTGCAGTGGAGAGGAGCTGTCGTATCAAAGATGGTTCAGCGGCGGCTGTGGAGAGGAATGCTGATTAGGTGTTGGGGAGTATGAGAAATACGCTGTCACGGCCAGTGGTGGTGGAGACAGGAGAGGCCTTTCTGGACTTCAGGCACACGTGACATTCCAGAGGAGGCAGAGGAAGCATCTCTGGGAGGGACTGGAGCTCTGTGCTGGAAACCACAGCTTGGGGCTTGAATCCCTGAGCTGAGCGGGGCTGTGAAAGTCAGATGAGCCTCTTGCATGCTCTGCTGGTCCTTGGGTATTCCCTCCTGTGGGGTGCTGGCTGCAAGACAAGGCAGGCTTTTCCCCAAAGCTCCTGTCCCTCTTCCACTGCTAATCCACACATGAAGCTCTGCCGCAGTTGGAAACAGCCCTAGAACTCATCCAAAGCACAGCTGGCTCGTTCCTCATCGCTTCCCTGCCAGCGACGGATGGTTAAATCAGGCGAGGGCCGCGGCTGGGATGAGCTCCGCTGCAGGCTGAGCCCCGGCAGGGCGGGGGGTGGCAGAGGGGGTCCTGGGCTCTTGGCAGGGGAAGGCTCGACCACCCCTCTCAGAGTGCATCTGTCCCTTGAGTGCTCTGTGGAGCGTTGGTGAGGGTTTGTTGAAGAGCCCCCCTTGCCCCAAGCCTGCCGGGGTTGTGCAGGGGGCCTGGCCCAGGGGATTGTGCAGGGGGCCTTCCTCATCCCTTCTTCCCTTTCAGATTTCCTTTTGACCCTGATTATTTATTCAGCAGAGCCCAGCAGGGGATGTGAGCACAGAGCCAAAAATACTCTTCTTGCGCAGGGAGAATCGGCTGGCCACGCCAGGCGTGATTGATTGGGGCCGGCGCTGCAGGCCTCTAGAAAGAGTTATTTTTATCTTGCTCTGAGCAAAGTTTTTCTGTCACCTTGCTGCAAACAGCTTATTGGGAGAGCGCTATCCGGCTTGTGGCTGGGGCTCTCACTTGGCACTTGGAGGGGCTGTGCGGCCTCGGTGAAATCTGCTGGCGATGTGCTGGGGCGGAGGTGAAGCTGATGCTGCACCAAGGCAGGCACTGGGGATGGGAGCTCCTGGCTGGCCTGTGTCCTGCCGGGAGACCCTGCCCAGCAGACTGGTGCCTGTGCTGCACAGGCGGCAGCAGCCACAGGAGAAGGCAGGCTTAGCAAGAGCCTGAATAAATCCTGACCATTCTACATCTGTCCCCAGAGAGGTTAGGGCTGGGTTAGCCAGAGTGTGCAGGGCTGCCTGGAGTGCCGCCAGCAGCAGTTGTTTGTAGAAAAATCAATCCCTGCAGACACCCCACAACTCTACGTATTTATCACTGTCATGCACGCAGGACGGATCCTGCAATCTAGTGTGCAGTGTCTCTGGCATCTCCTGCTTTGCTTGGAGAAGCCAGAGAGGAGGACAGGGATGTGTGGAGCAAGGGCAGAGAGCGCTTCGAGAATGGGCATCGCCTGTCCCAGCCAGGGGCTGGACCAGTTGCGTCGGGTGGTTACACTGGGGACCACGAGAGCTGCATGAGCTGCACACGACCGGGAGAGCAGGGACCTCCCTTCTGCCTTCTTACTTATTTTTTTTTTAATGCTAAAAGTTGTCCCCGAATTGAAATCGTTTCATCTCGATGCTGCTCAAGGACGCAGTCTCTCCTCTTTGCAGCTCAGTATTTGAACTTCAGTGGTGGCTGGCGTTTGATTGATGTTGCCATCTCTTTCTACTCTACCTCTGTCAAATCAAAGCTGCCTTCACAGCGCTGCTGCCGCTAAGACTCGAGCAGAAAAGCTGCCAAGCAGCCATCCCAAGGCAGAGGGCTGGTGGGTGGCGGGCAGGGGTGGCAGGCAGCCTCAGATCGGCGTGTTCGTTTGGTCTTCAAAACATCCCGACGCTTCTCAGACTGTAAAGCGGCTTTTTTGCGCCTGTTTGTCCCTGAGCTTCAGCAGCGGCACCAAGGAGTGAACGGTGAAGTATTTGGGGAGCAGGAGCAGCTCTTCTGTTACATGTTTCCCTGTTTCACATGAAAAGCACATTTCAGCTGCTCCCTAATTGCTACAGAGCCGCGTGGCTTTGAAGTTCGTGCTGCGCATCTGGGCTCTGGTTTCCTGCGTGGTGATGCTGTGGGATAGAGCTGCCGGCGCCCGGCCGGTTTGCATCCGTTTGATCCTAACCTCCTTTTTGCCTTGCCTCTTTTGTTCTGTCTCCCCACCACTGTGCCCTGCAGATTCAGAGGATGATGGAGAGTCAGAGGCAGCGAAACAACTGATTCAGCCCATAGCCGAAAAAATCATCGCCAAGTACAAAGCCAAAGAGGAGGAGGCACCATTGCTCTTCTTCGTGGCGGGTGAGGTAAGCGGGAGGAGAGCACAGGGCTGCGTCCTGCTGTGTCTTCATACGAGGACTGAGCTGGGTTGGGTACTGCTGTTGCCACTCTTCAGGTGGGTAAACTGAGGCACAGAGCTACTGCAGCTAGTCAGGGACTGCGGAGCAAAGCCAGACCCAAGTCCTGGCTCAGTCCCCTGCACTCATTGCTGGATGTTACTTCTGGTAAAGCAGTCCCAGCTGCATTTGCTCAGAGATGGAAAAGTCTGACAGCAGGTGAGGGAGCTGCTGGGGACGGGCAGAGAGGGGCTGGAGGAGGTGGGAGGGAGCTGCCAGCTGCCCCTTGAACCCTGAGGCTGCGCGGGCAGGAAAGGTGGCTGGGCAGGGGGAGAGGAGCCGGGGTTTGGGTTTCAGCCCGGCCCAGCTGGTGCTGCCCTCCTTGCTGAGGTGCTGCTGGATTTCTTCCCACCCCAGGAGGAGAGCAGGGACCAGTGCTCTGGCCTCTTCCCTAAGGGGTGCCTGTGGGAGGCAGCCCTGATCCTGCGGACTGGGCCTGTTTGTGTGCCATGCTGGTGAAGCTGGACAAAACTGTCCCTGGGAGTGGGCAGGGGCTGCTCGGGGAGCAGCAGGGCAGCACAGGGCTGTGCTTCTGCTGCCAGCTGCAGCAGGGGCATCCCAGCTCCGCTCTGCCCTGCCCTGGGGCTCGGCTGGGCACGTCACTGCAGTGCTCACCTGTCCCCCTGTGAAACAAGGGCTGTTTCCTGAGCTGGACATGCTCTTGGTGGCTGGGATGGTATGTGGGGCATGTGCAGGCTGCGGTGCTTGGAGCCAACGATCTGCTGGAGAAAATGGGAAATGGGGTAACGGGGCTTCTGGCCTCCCTTTCCCCTGTGCAGGCACTTTGCCCTGCTGCAGGCTTGAAAATGAGGAAAGTTTTGTGTAAGGGTCGAAAAAGTTCCCAGGCCCCCCCAGGCCCGCGGTTCCCCTCCCTGGGTGCTGCCTGGGCAGGTGGCAGCTGCTGCACGGCCGCGCGCCTGCTCCGTCCGTCCATGCTCGCGTCACAGCCGCAGTGTGCTGCAAGCGGGGCCCTCTGGAGCCGCCCTGCGCACAAAAGGGTCCCCACCGCTGCACCCCGCCCCCCCCTGCCAAGCAAGCCCCCACCACTGCCTCCCACAGCCCCGTCAGCCCCCTCCGGGCAGGCACTCCCGCTCCTGCCGCCGTAATGGGTCTCCAAGCGTCCCAGCTCAGCCCCACGCCCCTGAATAAGCCCCTTGTTGGAAAGGCTATTTTGGGAGGGTCCAGGACCTGCCCCCCTCCCCCAGAGCCTGTGAAGCATTTTCTTCCCGTTCGCTGGTTGTAGCTGAAACATTGCCGCTATTCATCTGGCTCCCGACGTCCCTGTGGCAGCCGGGCCAAAGAATGGGGAGCGTCCAGCGTGTCCCATTCATCCGTCGCCTCAATAGCTGGGAGTGCTGGCCCCAGGCCTCCGCCGGCCCCCATGCACAAAGCAGCTTGGCCACGGCCGGAGCAAGCGCCTCCCATTCCTCTCCCAGCACCGTCTGGGCCTGTTTTGCATTGATTAAAAAGGTTTTCGGTCCCTTTGCGGCGATGGGATAAAGGATGAGGCATCCCGATACCTGGGCTCCAAGCCGGCATGGGAGGTGGGAAGGGTGGAGGGCGGTTGAGCGCTCCAGCCCCGAGGCGGTGGGCCCAGCCCCGCTCGCCCTTCCCTGCCACGTGGTCCGGCTGCGCCAGAAACCCCTGCAATGGAAGGGGAGGCGCGACAGGAGTTACCCTGCCGGCCGCCGCCACGTGCTGCAGAGCCACCAGCCACTAACCAGATTGACTGATTTCTATTACTGCCCTTGGAAAGGGGCTCAGAGGAACGCCCCGTTTCAGATGCCACGCATTGTGGGCTTGGCCGGGAGCGGGAGATGAATCGCCCCAGTGCCGGCTTTTGCATTTCACAGCTTGGGCAGAGAGAAATTCATTTTTTCCCTTTTCCCAGAGCTGTGCTGTGCCTGGCCGAAGGGAAGGCAGCCTGCTCCTCCAGTGAGCAGCTTGCTGCTAGGGAGCCCTGTGACCTGCTGGTGGGGTTTTGGCGTTGGCTCAAAGTGTGGACCTTCGTCCTATTCCCATTTTCTGGTTTGCTCCAGGTCCCTTCGGCATCTGCCCCAGTGAGTGGCGAGGCTGTGGCTGTGCTGGCAGAGGGCTGGCGAGTCCCCACATTCAGCACTTGTCCCCAGCTCCTGAGCTGAGGATGCCAAAATTGCTCCTGCCCCAGAGGCTCCAGGGTGGCCTGGGGCAGCAGGTCAGCTTGGGGGTGCTGGGAGCTGTGCCCTGCATGGAAAGGGCTGGAGGATTGCATGCTCCCATCCCAGCCTGGGATAAATCAGCCCGGTTTGGTTTTGAGGCAAATCACGGGCAGAGCAGGCAGCAAGGCAAGTGGTGCCGGCTGCGCTCATGGTCCTGCAATGCTGGTGCAAGGCCCAAACCCTTGGGAGATACTTGCGGGTTGGATCACGGTGTGGAAGCAGCAAACTGCTCCTGGTTGTCCTGGCTCTGCTGATGGCTCCTCTCTCCCTCTCATTTTGGCCTCCAGGACGACATGACCGACTCCCTGCGGGATTACACCAATCTGCCCGAGGCTGCGCCCCTGCTCACCATCCTGGACATGTCGGCCCGGGCCAAGTACGTGATGGATGTGGAGGAGATCACGCCCGAGATCGTGGAAGCCTTTGTCAGCGACTTTCTAGCAGACAAGCTAAAACCCGAGCCCATCTAAGGGGGCTTCTGTGCCAACAGACATTATTTAAAACTAGGTCTCTCTTCCGCCGCTCATGGATTCTCCAGCGTGTCCTCACGCCCGACCCAGTATCCAACCTTCTTGTGGTGCCTTGTTTTACGCAGTGAATCCTTCTCCTAAGCAAACTCCTTGAGATGCACTTTCAGCAGGGAGTCGTTGGCGTTTGGAGACTTCGCTTGTGCTTCATGGTGATATATTCTCTAATAACCAGGCCAGAACTGTTACCGTATCGTTATTTTATACACGGCACTAGCTAGCAGGCAAATCTTTTTGCATGGTGTTCTTCCCAACGTATGCATCAGGCAGTGGATGGGGTTCTCGGGGCTCTTTTCTTCTCCTCCTCCCCCTTCTTTCCTTTCCTATCACCCCTGCTGACTAAGTGACTTTAAGGAAGCAATAAGGAAACTGTCCCCTTTGCCACGTGAGTGCCCTGACAAGGCCGAGACAAAGTCTTAACTGCTGACAACCTCTGAAAGACCACGGCGCAGCCGAGCTCTTCCTCCTGGGGGTGAGACCCTTCCGGGTGGGTTTCCCACCTCCCACCCCAAGCACCGACAGCCTTAGGCGGTGCTGGCTGTGCGTGTCAGGGGGTCACCCGCCTGCGACGGGTGGATGTTCCCTCCCTCCCTCTCTGAGCCAGGAGGAGGACCACCACCACCGGGCTGCCCTCACCTCTCTCGTCTCTCCTTTGTGCTCTCCCTGTCCCCTCTTGCCCCTTCTCTCTGGTATGAATTGTCTCCCTTCTATGTTAGTTGATTGAGCTGTTTTTTGTAGGTGTGTCCTAAACCCAACGTTAATGGTGCTGTTCTTTAAAAAATAACCAAAAAAACCCAACAAAAATAAAAAAATCCTTCCTTAACCGAAGCAGCACAGCCGAGCCCCTGAAAAGTGACATTGTAAAAACTGTACATGGTGATTGGAACTTTGTAATAAAACTGTTATAATAACCTTGTCCCCAGAGGTGCCGATTGCCGCGTCCCAGTGTCGGGGAGAGGGAGCCCACCTGGGACCCGTGCGGCAGGAGGAGCCCCCCAGCCAGACCCCGTGGGGTAGGTGTCGGTGCCGGTGCCGGCAGCTCCCAGCGCTGTGGCAGCTGAGCTGGGATTGCGCGTGTGCAGTGCAGCTCCCTCGGGGATGGTGACTCCCGCGAGCTGTTCAGAGACGCCGTGGAGGGGCGAGCACAGCCTCGCTGCCCCACACTGCGCCCACCCACCCCACGGGCTCTGCTCACAGCACCCCCAGCCAAGGGTCCCCCCGCCTCTTGCCGGACGCAGCAGCGGCTGCAAGGGTTTCCACCAGCGTCCCTGGGAGGGTGGTGTCCCGGAGGCGTGCACGGTGTGCGCTGAATAGCGGGTGTTGTGCAAGCCACCGCTTTTCCCTTTCAGCTCGTTACTCAGCGATGGCAGGATTACGGCCTCTCCCCCTTTATCGCTGCTGCAGCAACCCACCTTGGCAGGAGCTGGGAAAAGCCACCAGCTCAGCAAGGCAGGAACCGTATAAATCCACCCTGTGTTTTGCACATTTCAGAGGCTCTTGGTGCGAGCAGGACGGCAGCAGCACAGCAGCGTTGGGAGCTGTGGCTTTGCTGCGCCTCCCTGGGCATTGGGCTGTGAGCAGCCTACCCTAAATTAACCCTGAACTAACCGGTATCCCCTTTACTGGAAATTTTTGAGGAGATAGCCTTTTCAGTGAGTTATCTACTGTGCGGTTAAGGGCTCATGGAGTGAGCTGTGCCTGGCTGGACTCAAGCTGTGTGGAAGCGGCTGAGCAGCAGCGTTGCCTCGAGCCCCCGACGCCACCCAGCACCCACGCTGCCTGTGCTCAGTGGGTGCCTGCTCATCTGGGGGCAATCGCGATGGGTTTGTGGTTTGAAAGACCGCGGGATCTGTAGCGTTCGGTCATGCAGCAGCAGCTGATTTTTTTAGAGAGGGGGAACCCATATTCCCCTCTGGACATTGTGGTTCGGGCTCCTAGTGAGGCAGTGAGCTCAGCACTGCCACAGCCGCTCTGGTAGCTGCTCAGTAGGAACTGGTGCAAAGCAGCTATTTTCTGCCTGAGAATTGAGTTGTTTTGGGTCAATTTAATTGAGACTGGGGCTGGAACTGGGCTCTGGAGATGGAATTGCTGAGCTGGAGTAGTTGCAGGCTCGAGGTAACGCCGCTGTCTGACAGCGCACTGCACACCCAGCCCGGGCAGCACTGCGCACTGCTCAGATACAAGGGCTGGGGCATGGAAGAGGCTGAATCTCTGGGTATTTCTCGAGCAGACAATATGAATTATTTCAATGGGGTAATGGGAAACTGGAGCCAGCAGAGTGGGCTGGCAGTAAGCAGCTGGTTATGTGACTCACAGCCAGAGGAGTAGTAGTCTCCTTCCCTGGGGCCCGGCACCCGTGCCCCTCCGAGGGACAGCCACAGCGAGCGGCAGCACCCACAGCTCCTTTCATAATTCATCTGCGCTGAGGCCCAGCTGCCGGAGCGAGCGGTGTCCAGGCGGCTGCATGGGGACAGACACCGCCACCTCCTGGCAGCGGCACCCTCACAAGTGCCAGAGCTGGGACACCCCATGCCGCAGCCAGCCCCCAGGGTTGGTGTGCTGCTCTCATCGCTTGTTAGAGCACAGGGTTTGGGTAGGCACAGGCAGGACCCATCCAGGTGGCTGCTATTTGGCCTTTCTTACCCCCAAATCACTAGCAGCAGCCAGGCCACACAGCCAGGCCACACAGCCCAGGGCTGCGAGAAGGACGCACATTGTCAGCGGCATCCTGGCCAGGCTGTCGCGGCTGCTGGGCCCTGACCCTGCAGGGAGGGATCTGAGGCCTCCCCAGATCTGCCAGCTGGGCCCGGAGGGGCCCTGCCCAGGGCTGCCAACAGGAGGGAGTGGAAGAGCCAGGCAGCAGGGAGCTAGCTGGCTGCCCACAAGGCGAGGGCACCCACCCACAGGCCTTTCCCTTCTCACTAGCATCACCGTGCAGCCGGAGCGCCCACGGGCTCACCCGGGAGTCACGCACTCATCCAGCCACAGCTCCAACGCTGCCAGAGCTGTTTAATACCCATTTACTACAAACCAAACAGCCTGAGCTGCAATTTTATTAACTCTACAGCATGCCAAACGGAAGAGATCCTTCTTCAGCACCCAAATCTCAGCAGTTTAGCCCACTACAGGGAACTTCTGCCTTTCGTCTTCCTGCTTGTGCCTCCACAGCAACTGTCTCTTCCCCTCAAACAGCACAATGCCAGCAGCGATAGCAGAGTTCAAGCTGTCCACGCCTGGCACCACGGGAATGACCAATCTCTTCCCTCCGGTGCTGGCTGCGAGGTGAAGCGCGTCTGGACTCAGACCATGGGTCTCTCCGCCAATCACCACTGCCACCGGAGTCTGTGTCCAGTTCTCATAGTAATACTGTGCGGCCAGCTCTGGGACGCAGACATCTGCAGCTCCCTCCTCATCCTCGCTCTCAGGAGCAGCCCGGGCTTTGGATTTCACAAGAGCTTTCGGGCTGCCAGGAGCAGAGCCAGCCCCGCCAGCTCCTCTCGGCACGGACGCCTGAGCGCCTGGGTCTTTGTTGTCAGCCACGCAGACCTGGACACGGGCAGGAAGGTGGCTGGGAACAGCTTCCCAGTCCAGGTTGGCGATGATGGGCAGACGGAAGTGAGCTCCCATGCCTGCACGGAGCACCTTTGGCTCCCAGGGATCCACACAGCCTGAGATGGAAGGGAGGAAAACGGCAACACTGCAGCGGCTCCCACAGAGACTGATTCAGCAGCCGCTGCTACCCACAGCAAATCATGCCTCGGGCAGGCACTGCTTACAAACTCTTGGGAACAACATCTTCAAGCACCTCTTATTCCCTGCCTTACCCCCAAATTACTCAAACTAAACATTTTTCCCCAGGGAAAGGTTCTTACCTTTGGTGAGAAGCACTTTCTCACAGCCTGCTCCTGCTGCAGATCTCAGAATAGTCCCCAGGTTTCCTGGATCTCGGATATTGTCACAGATGAGGAGGAGTGGCAAGGAGCTGGTTAGCTGAGCGGCAGGGTAAGACATCTTGGCATGGTTGGGCTTGGAAAAGATCCCTGAGGAGACAAAGTTCTGACAGGCTTCTGACTAACACACCCCAAGGAGAGGGCTGTTTCTCAAGTAGCTGGCCCAAATTTCACTAAAGAGGTGCTGGAGAAAGCATTAGGAAAAGCATTGCTTGAGAAGAGTTTGCCACTTGACAAGGAGAACTATTTCCCAGCAGAGCTGGAGTGACATGCTATTAAAAATGAGCATTATCACCTTCAGTGTACTCTAGGAGCCACTTTCACAGTTACCACAGCAGGCCAAATAAAAGGGAATTCTCTCAAATTATGCCACTCCTGACACACTGCCAGAATGTCTAGGGGAAGGTTAGGAAGAGAGAGTCATTATCAACCAATTAAGTGTGAAATAAGTTTCCCTTTGAGCAGCGTTACACCTGTTTCTAGGGCAACTTACCTATAAGCCCCTGAGGAGTTACGAGGTCAGACCAGCTCTTAATGTCTTCAAATTTCACCTTAACTAAGTTGGCTCGTTTTAGCTCTGCCTCGGGCAGCTCCTTCAGGTGCCCCACAGTGCTGAAGAAGAGAGTCTGCAGCACAGCTCCTGCCTCCAGGGCGTCCTTGATCAGCCTGTGACCCTCCAGCAGAACCTTCCCGTGATGATCCCGAAACTTCTTCGACTTGGCGATAGTCACCACTTTTCTGCGGAGAAGTTAATCAGAGAAAACGGCTGTGGCACTAACAACACCTTCAGTCTGACGTTTGCCAGGCACTGAGAACTTCACTCGGAAGTCCCCCGGGTATCTTTAGACCGGCTGTAACTGGCATTGTGGTATCAGGCTCTACCCAGCCCCCCCAAGTGTTGGAATTTGGCTCAAATTCTGCAGATGTGACACCAGGCAGCTCAGGGGCAGTTCCACAGGGGGCTCAGAGCAGGGCATCCCCGCAGCCCCTGCGTTAGGTTTGCCGGCAGGACCTGTGACCCCGTGGGGGACTAACGCTGGAGCAGTCTGTTCCCGAAGGACTGCACCCCATGGAAGGGGCCCATGCTGGAGGAGCTCGTGAAGAACTGCGGCCCGTGGGAAGGACTCACGTTGGAGCAGTTCACGGAGGACTGTCTGCCGTGGGAGGGAGCCCAGGCTGGAGCAGGGGCAGAGTGTGAGGAGTCCTCCCCTGGGGAGGAAGGAGCGGCAGAGACAGCGTGGGATGGACTGACTGCAGCCCCCATTCCCCGTCCCCCTGCACCACTGGATGGGAGGAGGTGGAGAAAGCGGGAGTGAAGTTGAGCCCGGGAAGAAGGGAGGGGTGGGGGAAGGTGTTTTAAGATTTAGTTTTTATTTTCTCATTACCCTACTCTGATTGGATTGGTAATAAATTAAACTGATTTTCCCCCAGTCGAGTCAGTTTTGCCCGTGCCGGTAATTGCTGAGTGATCTCCCTGTCCTTATCTCAACCCATGAGCCTTTCGTTATATTTTCTCTCCCCTGTCCAGCTGAGGGGGGAGAGTGATAGAGTGGCTTTGGAGGGCACCTGGCACCCAGCCAGAGTCAACCCACCACACAGCACTGGATAGGTTTGTGAGTGGATCGGGGAAAAGACCGATGAATTTGGAAAGCTCTTGCCTCATGGGAAGGTAATTAAGCAGCAAACTGATGGCTATTTAAAGCAGGTGAATGGTTATTCTTGGTTTAAGGTCAGGGAACAGAGCTGAGCGATGGCACCTGAGCTCACCCCAGAACGGGTGTTCGGAGAGGACTCCACGGAGGGTTTATTTCTCCTGCCAATCTCCACAGGCCCTTGGCCACCTGTC